ACCGATATGTCAAATACAGTTAACCATGTTTATCACTTGAACGAAATTTCTAGATTTTTTCTTTACTCCTAAAGGAATTTATTGATAAAGCTAATCAAAGATAACATTCATTTTGATTCTATCAAAATTCTATCCTAATTATAGAAAGTACAAATTAATTATTATTTGAACAATTTTTACGAGTATTATCTGTATTTTATAAAGTAATTAACCCATTTTCCCTAATTTCTTTTGAATGGAACTGATTTTTAGGCTTCCGTGCAATCGATTTTCTTCTTTTCAATTAGCCATAAATTAATTCTTTATTTTTTCCCAAATTCATTTCCAAATTCTATTAATACATTACAGATATTACTATACTAGCGGTATTCTTTCTTAAACGTCATTGAATCTCATTTAAGAACTTATGCTTTGAGAATATTCGAAAGTATACAATTTCACAATCAAAAGCTAAACTGTACCAAAGGTATAAAGACTAAACATCAATTTAGTTAATTAAATATAAATCATTAATAAGTCAACATATGAAATCAGACAAAGATCACAAAGCATTTCGAACTTCGTCAAGATCAAGCTTAAATAAACTTTATCAATTAAGTTTTAGTCAAATTTCAATATCAATCATAAATACAACTCTATGAATTGTATGAAGTATATCGAAGACAACAATTTAACTTGATTAACGCTTTTGGAATTGATGAATGACAAGGCTGATTTAACATTTTCCGCAATCATATAAGTTTTGATAATCTAATTTAAGATCACATCAATCGAGCTATTTTGCTAAGTTTCATTTAAATATCGAATTTGGAATAACTGGACATCAAAAGTCCAAAGAGATCAGATGTAAATTAAAATTATGAGCAAACTAATTCCACAATTAAACCTCCTTCATCAGGTAATGGCTTTATTTTTAAAGCTTATAAATGGCTCAATTTCGAGTCTCAAAAATATTTTCACACATAACAATTTTATGTTTCGGGTTAATGTTTATTACAACAATGCTGATCATGTTCTAACACTTTGATTAGTTATCTTATTTTCTAATCGTCCAGTATTCAATTTAAAAAAATGATATAAGTGATGTTTTATGATATTACGTGATTCCTTACTGTAAATAAAATGAATAGTAGGCAGTAAGGCGCAAATGAACAAGGTGTAGCAGTTTAAAAAAATCTTTAATGGAATATCATCGCCTTTTTCGATATATTTATTCCAAATTTTTGGCAGATATCTGCCAATAATAATTCCGATTTCCATTGTACCACAATACCACACAGCCTGAGTTAACATCGACCGTTCATAATGGCTAATATTCGTACCATTCGTTTCACTTTCATTGGTCGAAATTCCTTAATATATTAATAAATTTGGCGGTGAAATAAGTTAAATTGAAGAGGAGATTTAGAAATTTAGCAACTTTTATCGTCAAGATCCAAAACTAACACTGAAACAGTTTATAAATCTTTTGCCTATCTTCTTCTATGTTTTTCACTTATTGTTTTTATTACTTTTACTTATTATGTTTTTACTTTTTACTTATTGTTTTTATTACTTTTACGTCTTTATTTTACTTATTGTAAAAGAAAAAACGTCTTTGCACAACAAACTTCGAAGTTTACGACGTATGCTGCAGAATATTGCAATATGCAGAATAAACATTAAATTCGGTATAGTTAGCTTCCAAATATTACGTATTCTAAAGCATAACAAATAAGTGGCCGTTTCAAACTCAATTAAAACAATGCAGTATAGAGTAAATGAAAGGAAATTACAGTATGCAACATTGAAATATTAAATTTTCTAAAATATAATTGAGGAATAGAATTCTTTTGATTCGAACAGCTTGCAAATAAAACATTACGGTATGTTAATTTGAAACACAAATTTAATATTTATTCATAATTGAATAGAAGGGAACTGAAAGAAAACCTCAACCAAAGTTCTGTTCCAGATTTTGCGTCGTATTTTACCCATGTTAAGTTCCAGACATCGAATTTTCTGGTGTAATGATAAAGGTCTACAGCTTGTACCGCTGAAAATCTTTATGTGAATATGATGTGACATGTTTGACAAGGAGTATTGGAATATTCAAATAAGTCAAATAATAGCAAACAAAGCAAAAATTAATAAATCTGGATGAGAATCCGCACTAATAAAACCGCACTTCTACAAATTGATATCAGTCAGTGCGGCGGCGTCAGAACTGAACGGTGTTCAAATGGTATAGCATCATTCCTTAATTTCTATTTAGGACATTGTTGAATTGGATGCACAAACAATAGTTTGTTAAAATGATAGTAAATATGTTTTGAAAGAAATTATTTTGTCTATTGCATACCTAAAAGTGATAACCACACGAAAGCGATTATAAAGTACAGCCTTCTTGATTCGAAAATAGCGTTATATTTTGGTAAACTTACTGATACAAAGCGATTCACCGCTAGCAATAACGAAAAATTCAGTATAGCAAAGAATGCAAAACTCCTGCAGATTGCGAATGCAATGCCAATCCATGCCGTTGTGTTTTCTAAATCTTACCAGATTAATTAATACTGTTGAATTCTTTCTGCGCAATTAGAAGTCAAGCATATTAATCATGTTTTGTGAGTAATAATAAAATCATTTTTAAGAGAAATACTGTAAACAATATTTAACCGGATAAACAAATAGTTCCATTTATTTGAAAAATGTAAATAAAACAACTTACCATATGAATTGCTTTCAGTTTGCAATATTTTAGGCAATACAAGAAACATTTGTGGTAGAAAAGCCAGGAAATTGCAAATAATCAGCTGTACCGCGATAAGAACAAATCCAAGACTGTAATGATTCTCTTTTTCGAGACAGAATAGTACGATCGCCATTAGTGTATTACTAATAATACCATAAAGTAGGAAAATGATAAATAGTACAACTGCTATGTATTTCATAACCTTGTGATTCTCATCTCTTATATCAGCCTCATATGTCGTGTTTCCTTCCTGACAGGTTATGGGTAATATCAGAAATAACACAGTAATATAGCAATAACGAATAAACATTTTCACTGATTATCATTAAGAGGAGGAAGAAAAGAATTTCAGCTGACTGAAATGCAAGCTGCCAAGAATTGCGAGATTGGGAATTAGTATGCATTAATCACGAAACAATTATAATTTGATAGAGAAATAATATCTGCTTTTCTCTACAAATTGTCTTAGAAAAGTTTCACTTAAATCTCGATTTCCTGATGAAGCAGGTTTAATTACGGAATTACTTCGTTCATACATTTCAATTTAAATATGACTACAGACATTTGATCTCTTCGAATTTTAGTTGCCCAAATTCCAAAATCGAGATTTAAATGAAACATTGCAAAACAGCTCGATTGATGTGATCGTTCTTGATTTTATTAAATTAAATTGATTGAAATTTGACTAAAACTTAATTGATATGGTTGATTTGAGCTTGATCTTGACGAAATTCGAAATAAGTCGTGATCTTTATCTGACTTATTAGCAATTTGTGTTTAATTAATGCCTTCGACAGGAGATACTAATTACAGGAGGAAGAAAAGGGTTTCAGCTTCTGAAACACTAACTAGCAAGAATTGCGAGATTCAAAATCAGTGTGCATTATTCACGAGGCAATTATAATCATATCGCAAAATAATGACTTTTACGTTCTTCTTTCCAATTCCTCTCCAAACAAGGAATCTTCTGGTACTATAACAAAAATCGATAAATGTAATTGTTGGAAATTTAATCTTAGTCGCGGTCTCTGCAAGTATCGCCTTCAAAGATTGTGAAGTATCATTCCAGAATCTCTACCTAAGACAATGCTAAACTATAGGATTGCACCTATAAATTATTTAAAGAATAGCAAATATTGTTTGAAAGAAATTATTTTGATTATTGCTTGGGAGATGTTAGTAAATCATTTCTACAAGTGACAACCACTAAAGGAAAATTAGACAAAAAGTAATACAAAGTGCAGTACGGAAACGATAAAAAATATAACTGCTATGTATATTATAACCTTGTGATTCTCATTCCTTACATTAGCCACATATGTGTTTCTATATTACTGTAATATTCATCATACATGTAGCGATATTCTACAGTATACGCCAAAATTTGTACATTAAACTGTCTCTTTTGTTTGTATTATTTGGATACAATAATGTTCAGACGTGGATACAATAATGTCTTTTGATTTCAATTAAAAAACTACAAATTAGCATAGAAATAGAGACTTAACTCTCTTGCAGCTTTTGCAGTTAAGAGTTGATATTTTTTCAAACATATTCATTAATTATATAGTGTTATGTTAATTGCACAGACTTAATTAAAAATGTGTCATCAGTGAATAAATACGGATACCTTCACGCAGTTGCCAACTTATTTGTCTTTGCCATCAACCTTATACACAAATTCCTTTGAATCTAAGGACTGATTCACTAACAATAGAAAATTCATTAAATTTTGTGCCAAAAACAAAAGAGACATTCCACATCAATATGTGCAATTTAAAATATTCCTTGCAAATAATTTTATAATTTAAATTGAAAAACCTTCGCAGGATGTTTGTGGTGCTGAAAGTGATGCAACAAAAATATACGACAGCTGAAAGGCAGAAAAATCACAATCTACTTCCTTTTATCGTAATAAGTTAATTGTTTTCAATTTATTTTGCATTGATTCGACGTAATTGGTTCATTATTTTTAGAAGACTTATAATGAAAATAAATTGCCATGCAAATTGAGTTAGCTAAGGATTGAAGATAATTTGTAATTTAGAAATTGAAATTAGTAAACAGCGCTGTTTCTACATGTAAAAGCAGAAATTATAAGCGATTTCTAAGACAATTTGTAGAGAAATGCAGATATTATTTCTCTATCAAATTATATTTGCTTCGTATTAATGCATATTAATTCCGAATCTCGCAATTCTTGGCGATTTGCACTCTAGTCAGCTGAAACTCTTTTCTTCCTCCTCTTTGAAGATAATCAATTCAAATGCTTACTCGTCACTGCTATATTACTGTGTTATTTCTGGTATTGCCCATAACCTGTCAGGAAAGAAATACGACATATAAGGCCGATATAAGAGATGAGAATCACAAGGTTATGAAATACATAGCAGTTACACTATTTATCATTTTCCTACTTTATGGTATTACTAGTAATACAGTAATGGCGATCTCATTATTCCGTCGTGGAAAAGAGCGTTATTATGGCCGTGGATTTCTTCTCATCTCAATACAACTGATTATTTGCAATTTCATGGCTTTTCAACCACAAATGTTTCATGTATTGCCTGAAATATTACAAACTGAAAACAAGTCAAATGGTATGTTGTTTTATTCACATTTTGAGATCAGATAAATGGAACTATTTGTTTATTCGGTTAAATATTATTTACGGTATTTCTTTTAAAAATGATATGTCAAAGATAAAATTATTATTATTCACAAAACATAATTAATATGTTTGATTTCTAATTGCGCAGAAAGAATTTAACAATGTCAATTAATTTGATTAGATTTTAGCAAACACAACGGCATGGATTGGCATTGCATTCGCAAACTGCAAGAGTTTTTCATTCTTTGCTATACTAAATTTTTCATTATTACTGGCACTGAATCGTTTTGTGGCAATAGCTTTACCAAAATGCAACGATATTTTCGAATCAAGAAGGCTATACTTTCTAATCGCTTTCGTGTGGTTATCACTTTTAGGTATGATATCTCTGAAGCAATAGTCAAAATAATTTCACATTCAACATCTATTCAACAATGTCCTAAATAGAAATTAAGGAATGATACTTTGCCATCTGAACACCGTTCAGTTGTGAAGTCGCTGCAATGCACTGACTGAAATCAAATCGTAGATGTGCGGTTTTATTAGTGTGGGTTCACGTTGAAACATCTTAATTCTAGCTTTGTTTTGCTATTATTTCGCTTATTTCAATATTTCAACACTCTCCGTCATACATGTCGGCATTATATTCATACAAAGATTTTCAGCGGTACAAACTGCAGATTCTTATTATTGCATCAGAAAATTCAATGTCTGGAACTTATCTTGGGTAAAATACTATGCAAAGTCTGGAGCAAAACATTGGTTGAGGTTTTCTCTCGATTCCTTTTTATTCAATTACGAATAAATTTCAAATTCATTCTTCAAATCACAACAACATAAAGTTTTATTTGCAAGCTATTCGAATCAAAAGAATCTGTTTCTCAAATATATTTTAGAAAATTTAATGTTTCTACACATGTTTCTACACTTCAATTCTCTTTCACTTTCTCTATATTGCATTACTTTAATTGAGTCTAAAACGCTGACTTATTTATTTTGCTTTAGGGTACGTAATATTTGGAAGCTAACCATACCGAATGCAATGTTTGTTATGTATTTTGCAATATTCTGCAACGTACGTCGCAAGCGTCGAAGTTTGTTTTGCAAAATTGTTTCCTTCTTCTTCATAATACGAACAAAAAGTAAAAAGATTTATAAACTGTTTTAACTTTAGTTTTGGATATTTACGATAAAACTTGCTAAATTTCTAAACCTCCTCCTTAATTTGACTTGTCGCAAAATTTATTAATATATTAAGGAATTTCGGCCAATGAAAATGAAACGAATGGTATGGATATTAGCCATTATGAGTGGTCCATGTTAACGCAGGCTGTGTGGTATTGTGGTGTAATGGAAATTGGAATTATTATTAATAAATATCTGCCAAAAATTTGGAATAAATATATCGAAAAAGCCGATAATATTCCATTGAGGATTTTTTTAAATTGCTACATTATTTTCATTTGCGCCTTACTGCCTACTGTCCATTTTGTTTACTGTAAGGATTCACGTAACATCATAAAACATCACTTATATCATTTTTTGAAATTGAAAACTGGA